CCTTGGCTGCTGCCCACATGGGGGACTGGAGGATCTGCATGGTGTCGCTCCACTGGCTGACAGGGCTGCTCATAGGGTAGAGAGATGTGCTCTGACCGGGTAGCGTGTTCGTGACAGAGGACGTATGCTGCCAGGGTGCCTTTGGAGGCCAGGTTTTGGTTTTATTATCCTGAGAAAACAAAGTTAGTTAGGTTTGGGGTTTGCTTTTTTGTTTTGTTTTAAGACCAACACACTTCTTTTTTTTGAGACGACGCTTAACACATCACCTTATCCCCTCCCCAAGACATTTTCAGAAAATTAATTTATGTTTGAAAGCAGAATTGATGCATATATATAGCACACTCAAATGCTTAAAATGCCTGCCTACTGAAAAACCTTTTCATTTACTTCAGCACATTTGCTTGACACATAGCCCCACTCTAAGTCAAAATTTCTGGCAAGACAGGTAATAAATCTGGTGATACTTTAGTTTTCTCTGCACAGACAATTAAAATTGACTGTGTTGCCTCTTAGCTTAACTTGAAGTCTTTGTTTTTGTCATAAATTTCTGCTACAAGGGAAAAAGATAAGCGATTTCCAATTTTAATATTTAAACTTGGTAACCTTGATAAAAGCATCTAGTACTACTAGAGTGCAAATGGTTTGGGTTTTCAGCTGAGGTAAGCTATCTGGAGATGCAGATGCTATTCTAGTTGTTTTCCGAGTGTAAACCACCCCAAAATGCAAACAGGAAAAATGACTAAGCATAGCCATTTTCAGCTTACCTGATTACGGTCATCTGCTGCAGAAAGAAGAGGTGGTGATGGTAGCGTACTAGGTTCCTGTTCGCCACTACTGTGTTTTCTGCCCAAAAAGAGAGTGAAGTTTACTTTTTTTTTTAAATGAGTCACCCACCTTAATCTGCCACTGGCATATACCATTCTGTAGTTTCAGTCTGTCATACTTGACAGCCTAGAACATGTCCTGACATTTCATCGTTTCATGTGTTTTTGCTCAGTACAGGTAAAAAGCAGCAGTGCAGAAAGAAATCCGTCACTAAATACTGTCAGAGGCTTGACAGTGCAATAGTTCTTTGAGCTACAGCCTCAGCACCATGCACACGTTTTTGTAGAGGCGAAAGGAAGATGGGCTAGTCTTTTGCCCACTTTGAAGATATCTGCCAGAAATTGCCTTTTTTCTTATGTTATCTGCTCTCATTCGTTTGTTTTTTTTTTTTTTAAAGTATCTTTTCTGAAATAACTTTACAGACAAGACGAAAGAAACAGTTGAGCAAGTGAAACATCTGCTGAAGCACAGTGACTTTGCTGAGGAAGAATGTTAGACCTTTGGTTTAAATTTGTGACCCA